TGTATGGTGCAGTCAAAAGATAAAACAGAAACTTTGGGGAAAGGGCAGATCTAGATAATTAGAATCTGCAAATACATGATTATTATGAGGATATGAGCCAAGGCACAGGCAAAAGTTTCTAGTGCTGCAGAATCTGGACAGGTCTGCGGTTATAGAATTTATCAGCATTTACTTCTGAGCTCTGATCATTATTTGTCTCAGACATTGACACATGTCCATCCCCCTCCACACCGAATAGCCTTTTAAGAGGTGCTTCTATTAATAGTTAAGAGGATTGACAGACTTAAACTGTGCTTCCTGCAAAGATACACACAACGCTGAGTAGGAAAATGGTTACTCTTTGAGGAAATCATGTTGTCTAGTGATAGAAATTCATGCTTAAGAAATTCAACTAGGAACCTATGACTTTAGGAAAAACACCCTTAGTTCCTAAATGGTCTTTCATGCCTGTATTAGTTTTACCAAATTTTTTTCCCCTCAAGCGATTTTGGTGGAAAGCAATCTATACTTTTTCGTTGGTGGTGTTTCGTCAGACTCAGTTGAGTTTGACTCTTGCAACCCCATGGACTGTAGCCTGCCAGGCTCCTCTGTCAATGGGATTTTCCAGGCAAGAATACTGGAGTGGGTTGCCGTTTCTTTCTCCAGGGGGTCTTCCCAACCCAGGGACTGAACCCTGGTATCTTACATCTCCTGCATTGCAGGTGGTTTCTTTCCTGACTGAGCCACGAGGGAAGCCCATATTTTTTTCATTACTATATGAGATATAACTTTTATGTAGGAATATCTAAGCACAGATACCAGCCATAGAAATCTATGTCTAGGTTTTCTGCTTTTTAAGACATTACTTCCTGAAACGAACAAATAAAATGTAGTCATTTGCCATTGTAAAGGGAAGCTGTTTAGGTTGGAGAAAACTGGATGAATTAAAGTTTCTAGTGCTGCAGAATCTGGACAGGTCTGCGGTTATAGAATTTATCAGCATTTACTTCTGAGCTCTGATCATTATTTGTCTCAGACATTGACACATGTCCATCCCCCTCCACACCGAATAGCCTTTTAAGAGGTGCTTCTATTAATAGTTAAGAGGATTGACAGACTTAAACTGTGCTTCCTGCAAAGATACACACAATGCTGAGTAGGAAAATGGTTACTCTTTGAGGAAATCATGTTGTCTAGTGATAGAAATTCATGCTTAAGAAATTCAACAAGGAAACTATGACTTTAGGAAAAACACCCTTAGTTCCTAAATGGTCTTTCATGCCTGTATTAGTTTTACCAAATTTTTTTCCCCTCAAGCGATTTTGGTGGAAAGCAATCTATACTTTTTCGTTGGTGGTGTTTCGTCAGACTCAGTTGAGTTTGACTCTTGCAACCCCATGGACTGTAGCCTGCCAGGCTCCTCTGTCAATGGGATTTTCCAGGCAAGAATACTGGAGTGGGTTGCCGTTTCTTTCTCCAGGGGGTCTTCCCAACCCAGGGACTGAACCCTGGTATCTTACATCTCCTGCATTGCAGGTGGTTTCTTTCCTGACTGAGCCACGAGGGAAGCCCATATTTTTTTCATTACTATATGGGATATAACTTTTATGTAGGAATATCTAAGCACTGATACCAGCCATAGAAATCTATGTCGAGGTTTTCTGCTTTTTAAGACATTACTTCCTGAAACGAACAAATAAAATGTAGTCATTTGCCATTGTAAAGGGAAGCTGTTTAGGTTGGAGAAAACTGGATGAATCAGGTTGTTATCAAAGTTCTAGTTTTTCTCTTGGGTTTAGTTTGGAAGCCTTTTTTGATAAATCATCAATAAGGTAAAGTGAGCACTGACATTAAAGCTTGCTTATGGTTTTATATTCTTTCTGGATAAACCCTTTCCTTGCCAAGAACAGTCACGGACTGGGGAGATGGTCTTACCTTGACATTGTGCGTGGCTGTGGCACATCCTTCATTTTCCACGGTTTGGTGAACGTTCACATTATATGCCTCAGACCTTGGTGGAGGCAGAAGTCTTATCCGCCTCGATGATCTGGAGAAATGCTTCTGGTGGCCCCTTTGGTTGTCTTGGGAAAGCCTGGGCATGTTTTTACCATAAAGCCTCAAATGAGTCCTGTAGCTTGATTTTAAGAATACCAGCCCAGGGTCCACTCTATTTCTCTTCCTTTGGCTGGTGCTGGGCCATCGCTTAGTCTGCTGGGGGCCTCCCTGTAAAGTCACATCAGTCGAAGCAAGAGGATTATCTGTGTTGTGGGCCTGCAGTTTATCCACAGTCCGTGGGCTCTATTCCAGGATGAGCCTCTGATTTTGAGAGTCTAGGTATGTTCTGACTGCCCTCTACAGGTAGCAAGTGAAGTGAAAGTGAAGTTGCTCAGTCGTGTCCGACTGTTTGTGACCCCGTGGACTGTAGCCTACCGGGCTTCTCAGCTCTACAGGTAGCAGTGTACTCCTAATTCAAATTTAATGCCAAATCAAAACCGAAAGAAATGATTCAAGTGATACATTGCTTAGTATATAGTGATAAAGGAAATAGATCCTGTGGTAAAATTCTGCCTTTTTAGTGTGTGATAAGTGGAAAATTCGGACCATATCCTCGAGAGGCAGAGGAGCCACTTTATCTGTCTTGGTCTCTCTCTCTCTTTTTTTCAATCTTGGTCTCTTAAAAGCTCCTTCTAGTAGCAGTCGGCTTTGTGGCTGGAAATGCTTGCTAAACTCATAACCACACTTCACTCCAAGGATTATTACTTTTTCTTTATGTCATGCAGAATTAACTGAGGACTTCCCTGGTGGCTCAGATGGTAAAGAATCCCCCTGCACCTGGGATTTGATCTCTAGGTTGGGAAGATCCCCTGGAAGAGGTCATGGCAAACCACTTCAGTGTTCTTTCTGGAGAATCCCCATGAACAGAGGAACCTAGTGGGCTACTGTCCATGGGGTCACAAAGAGTTGGACACGACTAAGTGACTAAGCATAGCACAGCACAGAATTACTTGAAGTCATTTCCTTATGTGATAGTCATCTAACCATGAAGTCAAAACTTGGCTTCTACATCATACTTCCTTTTTGCAAAGTGCTTTATAAATATCAGATTATTGGACTTTCCTGGTGTTCTAATGGTTAAGTCTCTGCACTTCCACTGCAGGGGGCCTGGGTTTGATCCTTGGTCAAAGGTATCTAAGGCCCAGGTAGCTTCTGGGTCTGGAAGAGCACAGAAGTAAGGACCCCAGGCATGCATTGCTGGGGACTATGAACTGAAGAAGCTTCCATTCATAATATAGTCCCAGGCCCCCAAAATGGATATATAAAATGAACATAAGTTGGACCTCACATCATGTTAAAAAAATTAACTCGAAATGAATCATAGACCCATATTTAAGTGTTAAGGCTATAAAACTTTTAAAAGAAAACTTAGGAGAAAATTTATTTGTGACCTCAGATTAGGCAAAGCCTTCTTAGATACGATACCAAAAGCACAACTGACAAAAGAAAAAACAGGCAAACTGGATTTCATGAAAATTAAAACCTTTTGTTTTCCAAAGGACATCATCAAAAGAGTGAAAAGACACCCACAAAATAGGGTAAAATATGGCAAATCATACATACATAATAAGGGACTTATATCCAGAATATATAAAGAGCTCTTAAAAAACAACTAGAAATGGGTGAATTATGTAAATAGACGTTTCTCAAAAGAAGACACGCAAATGGCCAAAAAGCATATGAAAAGATGCTCAACATCTTTAGCAACTGGGGACATGCAAGTCAAAATCACTAAGGAGATACCAATTCAGTTCAGTTCAGTTCAGTCGCTCAGTCGTGTCCGACTCTTTGCGACCCCATGAATCACAGCTCGCCAGGCCTCCCTGTCCATCACCAACTCCCGGAGTTTACTCAAACTCAAGTCCATCGAGTCAGTGATGCCATCCAGCCATCTCATCCTCTGTCATCCCCTTCTCTTCCTGCCCCCAGTCCCTCCCAGCATCAGGGTCTTTTCCAATGAGTCAACTCTTCGCATGAGGTGGCCAAAGTACTGGAGTTTCAGCTTCAACATCAGGAGATACCAGTAGGTATTCTTTAATCAAAAAGACAGACAATGACAAGCTTTAGTGAGGATGTCAAACACTGGCACCCTCACACACTGCTGGGGGGAATGTAAAGTGATAACTTCACTTTCAAAAACAGGGTTACCATTCAATGTAGCAGTTCCCTTGTAGGTATCCACTGAAGCCAGAGAAGTGAAACATGTTTACCAAACACTGGCATGCAAGTGTCCAGTACTGTAAATCAACCCACGAGCCCATCAAGTAGTGAAAGATAGACAAAGGTGTCCCCGCACAATGAAATATTATTCAGCTGTAAAAAGGAATGAAGTACTAATATGTATTGACACAGTACATATGTGAGTCTTGAACATATATTAAGTGAGAGAAGCGAATCACAAAAGATCACGTGTTGTATAATGCCGCTCCTAAGATGTCCAGAATCGGCCACTCCTTAGATACATAAAGTAGAGGAGAGGCTGCCTAGGGCAAGAGGGTTTGGGGAGAAATGGAGAATGATGGCGAAAGAGTAAGAGGTTTCTCTTTGGGGCGATGAGAATTTTACAACACTGACTGCAGTGATGGTTGCCAACTCTGAGAATACAGTAAAAACCTGACATTTGTGATCTATGTCTCAGCATCAGCTTCATAACTGAGTCTCTTTTTAAAAAAGCCTGATCCGCTGAATTGTCAAATTCACGTGAAAGTTAACCGACTTCAAAGCTCTAAATTAACCTTTTCGGATTGACGGTTACGATAAATGATCAATGAGCTTTGGCTCCGTTCTCCGCCTCTGGCGCTCCCCGGCCCGGTCCAGGGAAGCGCTGGGTGTCGGGGTGGGGAGAGTGCTTGCATGCCTGACCCTCAGAGAAACCCTCGTAGGCGAAGGGCGCTCCGTGAGTCGTTTTGGGCCCTCCCGGCTTCCGCCTTCCGGGCGGTCACGTGCCCAGGATCACGTGACCCGCGCTCCTGTCATTCCGCCGCGGCCTCTCCGGCTTCATCCAGCCTGTGCCGCCCTCAACGTCTCCTCCTTGCGGGATCGCCCCCGCCGCCGCCACCGCCCAGGCCTCCGGACCGGGAGGGCCCCCGACTCGGCTGTGACTCGCGCCCGGACCGCTGCGTCCTCCCGCCTCCTTTGGGTGCGTCGGGGGGTCCCATGGTTCGCGGGGTGAAGCTGCTCTCGGGTCGTTCCGACTGCGGCCCCGGACCGGCGAGCCTGCGGTTTCCCCGCGTCCCTGGCGCGCTGGCTCTCTCCTCCGCCCAGGCGCCCCTGGGCCATCCTCCGGCCCCGGGTTCCCAGATGTCTTTCCTTCCAGACCCTAGCGGCGTTTGAGGAACCGCAGAGCCTCCCCCGCCGGGAAGGGCAAGGGAGAACGTGGACCGGCGAGAGGTGCTTTCTCCGGGTCGGGGTTGCGGCTGTGGTCGGCGCGGGGTTCGGGTTGTCCAGGGCCTAGGTGACCGCCCGCCCGCAAGCACAGTCGCCCGCCGCGGGAGGGCTCGCCGAGGCTGGGCCTGCTGGATTCCGCGATCCCAGCTTGGCCCGGGCGGAGCTTGTTTGTACTTGGGCCCGGCCGGTCTGCAGGGCCTGTGTTTGTTTAGACAACAAATCCTCAGATGTAGAGATTCCTTCCAGATTGACTTAAGGTCATTGGGACCCTGGAGAAGAATTTGGGTTGTGGTTTTAGCTTGTTTTTGGTCATAACTAACTGTGAGCTTTTATTTTGTAAACTGAATCTTATATTTTGTATCGTGATACAATCAGGCTTAAGGTTTTATCTTTGAGTTTAGGAGTGAGAATTACTTAAAAGCTCATTATTGTGCGTTCATATCATCAGATCAGTCTCCCATTGTTGACTGAACCTAAAATGTAATCTGTTTCAAAAAATTCAATATTGATTTTGAAACTGCTATTAATTTTGATTGAAAAAAGAAAGCTCTGCCTTCTAATATCTTACATTCCCACTTAGAATGTTTTAATTTGAATTACGTTATAAAAAGACATGTAGGTTTTTCATATGTCACTTTAAAATTGTGCTTAGTAAATGTAAAGAAAATAGTTGGTTCTATCTATGTTATGCAAGTTCTTATTTTTAAGTCGATCTCAACCGTATGTATTTAAAATACTTTCTTATCTTGTATGCCTATTCTTCCTATCCAACTCTTTGTGACCCCATGGACAGACCCCGTGGACTGTATAGGCTAGAATACTGGAGTGGGTAGCCTTTCCCTTCTCCAGGGCATCTTCCCAACCCAGGGATCAAACCCGGGTCTTGCGCATTGCAGGCAGATTCTTTACCATCTGAGCCACAAGGGAAGCCCAATATCTTATGATTACTTTTAAAATCTTACTGTGATATTAGTCCCAACAATTGGAAAACATTTCCTGGAAAAGTGAAAACCTATAGAGAACACATTTATGGAGTAGTGCATAACTGGACAAAATTTGAAATATAATGATGTTAATGTTTAGGCTTTTTAATGTTTGAGATGAATGGTCCTAGAGATTATGGTGATAATGATGCTATTGATGATAATAGTAGCAGTTGTTAAAAAACAATCACACCTTGTATTCTGGTTTTGCCTTGCATGCAAATTGAAGATCGGTAGAAGAACATTCAAGATCATAAGTTTAGATGACCAAGATGGATATCCGGGGCGCTGTGGATGCTGCTGTTCCCACCAACATCATTGCCGCCAAGGCTGCAGAAGTCCGTGCGAACAAAGTGAACTGGCAGTCCTACCTGCAGTGAGTGCTGGTGTGCTGTGAATCAGGGCTGTCATGTGCTTTGGCCTTCTTCATGGTCATGCTTCTGTGAGAGGAACACTGGAAAAAGCCTAACAAATGTGGAAGAAAACACTTCCTCCTTAGAACTGTTAGCTGTCACCTGCTTAGTGTGATGGAAACAGCTTGGGGCTCCAGTGGGCAGGCTATGCTGCTCACAGTGCTTAAAAAATTAAAAAATATATATATATATATATATTTATTTTTGGCTGTGCTGGGTCTTCATCACTTTGCCTGGGCTTTGTCCTGTTGCAGCAAGCAGGGACTGCTCTCTGGCTGCAGCGCACAGGCTTCTCATTGCAGTGGCTTCTCTTGTTACGGAATGTGGGCTGTAGAGTGTAAGAGCTCAGTAGTTGTGGTGCACGGATTTAGCGGCCTCGCGTCACGTGGGATCTTCCTGGACCAGGGATCGAACTGGTGTCTCCTGCATTGGCAGGTGGATTCTTTACCACTGGATCACCAGGGAAGCCCCTCATAAAGGTTTTAATATGTCAACTGACTCAAAAAGGACTTTTGTTGAAAGCCTTTGCCTGGGTGCTAGGTAGAACTGCCTTTTAGATTCATAGTCTGACCAGGTGAAAGAAGTAAAGCAGTCAGATGTGTGCTTGACAGAACTGCAGGGTCAGAGGGGCGTGGAGAAGGGTGGAATTGGAAGCAGGAAGCCCATTGGGCTGTGGCCATGGGACTGAGCCACTCCGGAGGGGCATGGAGTAGGGTGGGATTGGAAGCCAGAAGCCTGTTGGGCCGTGGCCGTGGGACTGAGCTGCTGGAGAGGCAGGGAAGTGGGGAGCAGAGTGAGATCAGGAGGGAGAATTGTCAGGATGGCTCAACTGGGCTGGCTGTTATGGAAGGGGCTGGAGCCGCTGACCTGTTGGGTTGGCTTGGGTGAGGACAGGCAGAGACTTGGCTCGTACCCAGAGGTGGTATTTTATCGAGTTTCGGTGGACCAGGCCTGTGCTGACCACCTCATGAAACTGAATTGTTTCATCCTCAATCCAGCCTCTTAAGGACAATGTGGTTCTTGTTCCCATTTTGTGGGTCAGTGAGCTCAAGTCCTGGGAGGCCCGTGAGCAGGAGGTGGTACAGCTGAGCCCTGAAGACAGGTCTGTGGGTGCTGGGTGTGGGGGTCAGCACTCGAAGAGAGAGGAGAGAGGCGGGCATTCTATATCACTAGCTCATAGGGACCCTTCAGCCCTTACTGAACAGAAACCTCATTCTCTCTTTCTAGGGGGCAGATGATTTCTTCTGAAGACTGCGAGTTCATCCAAAGATTTGAGATGAAAAGAAGTCCTGAGGAGAAGCAGGAGATGCTTCAGACTGAAGGCAGTCAGGTGATTGGTACAGATAGAAGACCATGAGCCTTGCCCTGGATCGTTAGACATTCTAGAGAGTTTCTCAGTGATTTTTTGACATTCCTCTTAAGCAGGTGTCATAGTTTTACTAAAAATTCTCTTTTATTGGAAGACATTTGAGTGATTTCTAGTTTTCTTTGTTAATGTTGGAAAAAATGTCATACTGAGTTTGTAGATGTTCCTCCATCCTTTTCTGCATTTTCTGAAACATTTTTTTTTTTTCGAAATAGAGTAGATTCCTGGCATGAAAATTACTGTTTCAAAGTATACAGTTATTTTCAAAGTTGCTTAACTTTTTTTTTTTTTAAAGAAAATTCATTGTTTCCTTTGTATTTTCACTAGAACAACATCTAACTTTGCCACCCATGAGATTTTCTGATATGGGGTCCTGATGGGCTGAAGGAGCTGGTACAGGCTAACCTGAATGTACAATCCTGGGAAGTGTGGGAGGAGGCATGTTGTGGGTGCCAGTCTTGTTGAATTCTAGAGCGATCATGACTCAGTTATTGAATTGTAGGATGGAGCTTTCTTATTGCAGTGCCTGAACTGAATTCCTGTACTTTTGCTGCCCTGGTATTCTGCTTCCTCATAAATGCAAAAGCCCTCCCAAAAGACCAAAAAAACCCAAACACCAAAACAGAAATTTAATATTAGATTGTCCATGTAACTTCTTTATGGTATCAAGAGTTGATGATGGCTAGGTCTATCTATTTTAAAATAGTAAACATTTTGATGTGACTAGAAATTATAAAAAATCTGATGTGAGTATGGCCTTCCTGTACTTCATCACATATTTGTGAAAGGATGCATCTTCTGTAATTGCATCCTCATTTAGGCAAGAGAATAATATCTTACTGAAATTCCATTAGAGCATTGTGTTTGCAGTTGAAAAAAGTGATTAACATTCATTTCCTTTTTTTTTTTAGTGTGCTAAGACATTTATAAATCTGATGACTCATATTTCCAAAGAGCAGACAGTTCAGTACATACTCACCCTGGTGGATGATACGCTGCAGGTGGGTGTCTTCCTCAGCAGACATGTTCAGTCCTCACCTTATTGTATTCTCCCGGGAGCAGCATTTCTGAAAGGTTTCACTTAAGCACTTGTTCACTTTCAGGGTGTGATGGTGTATTTTTCTTCACTGTGGGAGTTGTCATTTGCTGATCGTGGTGAAGACGGGGTTGTCCCCACACTGGCTGTTGTTGTGGTTTTCAGGATGTTGGGGGACTGGTGTGTCTTTTTTCCACGTTTCCTCTGAGTTCTGTGCTGAACACAGCAGTGCTCAATGCACCCCCACAGGCTTTCTGGGTGCTCTGCATACTCACAGATGACACAGCTCCCTCTCCTTCAGTCTTTCAACAGATTTCAGCGTCCCCGTGTCCTGGGCCAGGGCCGAGTACTGGGAGCTCAGTGCTGACTGTAGGCAAGGTGTTCGCCCTCAGAAGCATGGTGTTTGGAGAACATTTTGCTCATCATTTGGGACCTTTCCGGTGGCTTAGAGTTTCTATTTACTGCCCTGTTGTCCCTCAACCCAGAGACTCCCTTATTCACAGTTTTGTATTTTTACACCTGAGTGTAATCTCAGTTTAGGTTGTTGGAATCCAGAGTAGTCCTTTATGAAACAGGGCAACTGGCTGCAAAATCCACAACCTATCGAAGTTAATGATGAACTACTTGAACTTAGAGTTCTTTGATGAAGTCATTACCATGACTGTTTCAGTTATTACTCTAGACTCTGATAATGTGTTATTGAAGGAGATAGTTTTCTACTCTTCAAATACGTAACTGCTAGTATAAACCAAAATGAAAATCCTTGGGGACTTCCCTGGTGTCCAATGTCTCCCAGTGCAGGGGGCATGGATTCCATCACTTGTCAGGGAACTAAGATCCCAAATGCTGCAACTAAGACCTGGTGTGGTCAAGTGAATACATATTAAAAAACACATTGAATATGTTTATTTTGGCCCCGTCTTAAAGCAAGCATGTGGGTTCCTAGTTCCTCAAAGGGGATTCTGACCTGAGTCCCCTGCATTGGCAGCACAGAATTTTAACTACTGAACCGCCAGGGAAGTCTCCAAACCATTGCATTTAAAAAGATTTGAATATTGATCTGAGAATGAAAATGACTGTTTATGTGGTTTTTTGTGTCATTGGCAAATACTGCTACTTAACCACTGTATTCACTTAGTGAATCAGATAGTGGATTTCAGCCATCAACACACAGAGAACATTTCAGTGAGAGGTAGCGCTTGTATTATTTGAGCTAAGAAACTAAGAATTCATTGTTCCTCAGATCTGTCTGTTGGTATACGCTGGGTTTTGCCATCTTCACCTGCCCTGATTTTTCTATCACAGCACGCTAGGAGTAGCCATGAACATTGGAGATTTCTTTAATTCCCTGTTGCCCCTGCCTGCCTGGAAGTAGCTTGGGGTGCTTCCTGTGAATCCTTCCATCTAGAGCTAAATTGGCATCTTTCTGCCTCCTCCCAACTTTGTTTGCGTGGATGGAGGGTGGAGGTGTCCAGGCAGCACTGGGAGGGGTGGGGCAAGTCAGGAGGGGGACAGACTGAGAAGTAGAGCTAGGGGTGCTCCACCTGCAGGCATCTGTTAGCATGGCTCACCAGATTTAAATTAATCATAATACATTAGAGGTGATTTTTATTTAAAGACATCTACCCCTGCCCCCATCACCACCCTCTGCTCCACTGTAATAATAATGGGGGGACAGATCTCATACAGACTGGAAAAAAACACACTGATTGAGGGGATGGAGCATGAAAGGCTGAGAAGCAGTGCATAATTGTCATGTTCTTTAACAAGATGCATTCTGATCAGTGATTATTCTTTGTTTCTAAGGAAAATCACCAACGTGTTAGCATTTTCTTTGACTATGCTAAACGTAGCAAGAACACTGCCTGGTCCTACTTCCTGCCTATGCTGAATCGCCAGGATCTCTTTACTGTTCATATGGTGAGTTTTGAATTGATCACATTTCTGATTTCGGGAAGAACCTCAGTTATGACTAGGTGACCTCCCACTTGCCAGGAGGAGTAGCTGCTCTGATGCTGAGCAGAGCTCCATTTCCTTATTGGTGGTTAGTGACAGGGGTGTTGGGGTGGGCGGGAACAGGGCTGGGAGCTCAGAGGAGGTGGGGTTACCCTGATACAGTTCAGATTTTGCAGAGTATTCTATGAATTCATTGACATAAAAGCCTGGAATTTTGAAACAATGACTTGCTTATAAGAAGTACTGGAAAAAAAAAAGTACTGAAAGAATATTTACTAAATTGGGTTTGTGTGAAGTAGTATTTTATACTGCCTTCCCCCCTGTCTATATCTGTCAATTTCCAAGTTTATTGATGTGTAATTGCAAAACTATAAGATACTTAAAGTATACAACATGATGATTTGATAAACATATACTGCTTATTTAATAAATTCTTGATTCATTTTATAGTTTGAAGAAAATTGAGAACTTTTTCAATGAGGAGAAAAGAGTATTTGTTTCTATTGCAAGAAATGACTATTTCATACCCAGGATATATTTTGTATCAAGATACAGATATTTAAGTGTGAGACTCACAGGGGCTTGAATGAGTGAGGTGGTGCTGGCAATGTGTTGTGGAGATGGCTCAGGACTCTGGCAAGTGGTTTGGTGAGAGTCTCTAAGGACTTTTGTGTTCCTTTGATCTTTGCTGGTCTTGTAATGAATCCCAGTCTTACTTTTGAAACTCAGAATAATGTAGGGAATATCGTGAAATTCTTAACATACTATTGATTTTGGTTCACTTTGATGGAAATATTTAAAACTACATTTGACTGTATTAAAATATTTTTTAAAATGAAATATAATCTGTTATCTTGGGACAAGTTGAGTGCTAGAAGAAGTCATGCTGCAAAATGGTTACAAGTCCTGATTTTTAGGGTTGATGTTGTGATTTTTAGAAACAGAATAATGATCAAATGCTTTTCTTGTTTTTCAGGCAGCAAGAATTATTGCCAAGTTAGCAGCTTGGGGAAAAGAACTGATGGAAGGCAGCGACTTGAATTACTATTTCAACTGGATAAAGACTCAACTGAGTTCACAGGTAAGAGACACTCCTCTTAATATTCTTAAAAGAATATAACGTCTGGTTCTCTAAAGCTACTTAAGATATTTATGTGAAGTTGCAGAAATTCTGTGTTAAACTAGAGCCATCCTGAACTCTAACTCAGCCATGCTGCTCACAGGTCTAATAGGGGCTTCACCTTTTCTATCTTTGACTGGCTTCCACGCAGACCTTCCTGTCTCTTCTGCACTCGGGATTTTCCCATCATGAGTTTCTGCGAGTGGGGAGGATTGTGCTTCCCAGAAGGTGGCTGCCGAGGTCACATGGATTGGAGGATTGGGAGGACTCACACAGCTTCAAAAGACACACTCTGGGTGGCCTGGGCTGCTGTGTCTAGCTTGAGATGCTGTCTCACGCAGCAGCTGCCTCTGGATCCTACCGTGTCCTCCTGGGATTGAGTTTACAGCCACAGGGAAACAGGTGGCCTGCTTGCAGGTTGTCTCGCTGCTGTCAGGCCTCTTGAACCTCGCTGCCTCGTGGAGGAAGACAGCTCGCGGGTGTGACAGCTGGCAGATGACAAGTTGTCCCTTTTGTCCTCCTGGTTCCCTGGAGCAGGACAGGTGACCGGACACTTCCAGTGGCTGAGCTGAGGGTTTCTTTCTTTCTGGGGGTCCAGTGAGCAAGTGTGAGGTGGTAAGGGGGCATGGAGGGAGTAGCCTCAAGGGAGGAATGAGCCGAATTGGGTGGGGAGGAGATCTGTGGAAGAACAGGTAGGAGAGGGGGTGGTGTGTGTGGCGGAGTGGGTGACAGCAAGGGTGAGACCAGGAGAAGCGTTGCTGGTAGGTGTGGTGGTGACAGTGTTAGATCAAAAATAAAGGTCTGCTTGAAATAAAGGTGTGGAAAGGTGTCATTTAGACTTTAGGTGGCTTTATGATCTTAATAGATTTTAATTTGAAGCATAAGAGAGACACCATGACATTTTGGTTGGATTTATTTTTTGTCTTATCCTCCCTTGCCTTCGTTTGGGTGGGGGGTGGTGGAGCCTCATAGTCTTTTCTGTTTGGACAGGGAGATTCTGAAGTGTCTTGAACAAAATCAGTTGTTTTCTCTGTCAACAGCGTATATTTTAATAGGTTTTGGGCTTAATTTTTAAAAGTATCTTTACACAAGCCACAAGTTTGCAGATTTTATAGAACTGGTGAGGGATTTCAAAAAGAAAATATTTAGAAAGTGAAAAATAACTATGTGAAGACAAGGTTTAAAATTCTTGAGTGTGTACCATTTGAGATCAGAATGTTTAATTACGTAGCTAACCTCCCATCCCCATTTCCCCCCTCTATTTTGAGGTTAGTTTTCCCTTGGAGCAGACATCATCTTGTTTTGGGGTCAGCTGTGAGGCTCTTTGGTAGCTGGACTCCTAAAACCAGAGTGGGCAGCAGGGACTGCATGCTGCTGTGTGCCTGTAGCACGCTGGGTCATTTCAGCTTAGACTTCTTCTCATGGGAGTAACGTTTGTGTTGTGCCTCACAGACGGTCTGTCCCTGTTAGCACCATTAGCTGCGGTTGTAACCATGGCCAGCGGTTGGGGGATATTCTTCCAGTCCCTAGTAGAAGCAGGTGTTTCAGAGTTTGGAACAATTTTCATCAGACCTGAGCTTCTTGGTGTGAGGTGAATGCTCTTAGAGACCTTTCTGTGTCTTTCCAGCATGCTGGCTCTTTTTTTTTTAATCGCCGAGTCTCTGGCCTTGTTTAGGTCTGGCTTCTCTGCTTTGCACATCGTGCTCCAGGGAGTCTTCGGCCTGTCTGCTCTGAGTCTCGTCACTGCTTCCGCGGGGCCCAGCTGCTATGGGCAGACACTCCTCCCCAGCCTCTGGTCAGGAGTCAATTATAGGCCTCTTGTCTGAGGAATGAGGTGTTGGCTTGTTGGGGATTTTTTTTCTTCTTCGCTTAAAGGCCATGTGATAACATTGTCTCTGCACGGTCTCTTTCTCTGTGTCATAAGCATTTTTTCTCTCATAAAAAAGGACCACACTGTCACGATTCTAATAAAAATAAACTTTCAAAAGTCTGAATTAGGTGCAAATTTGAATATTTTGTTTTTCAACTTCACCGTGACATTTAGGAGCCTTTTTTCTGATTGTTTGAGTGCTATACTTGTGTTATAGGGGCTCATGCCTGGCACTTTGTCAATAATAGTTGTTGAATAAAACAAAAGAATTTTCTTGAAGAAATTCCTTATCAGTTTTCTCTTGCATACCCAGTTTCTGACTTTCTACTTTAAATTTCCTTTGCCCATTACTGTATAACATGTGAGGTTCTGATTGTCACTATAGTGTGTTAGCCTTGCTGTGAATAGTCTCATCTTTGAGTCCCACATAGTATCTTTCCATCATCAGACACCCATTTTGAAAGCTTTGAAGCAGAACACAGTGTAGACAGTTGCGCTTAAGACATTGTCTTATTGGAAAAACGATTCAGGCAGTAAATCCTGAGACTTGGAAATTTTGTACCAGCTTCACTTAAACAATTTAGCTGGAACTTAGTATTCAGTTTATTATTTTAAGATAATTTAAGATAACTTATGGATTAAGGTATTATCTGGAAGAATGTAATGTTTAGAATATTTCATGTCATCCCCATGCTTTTTATTTGTTGATGATACTCCATTAAATAGGGCTAGAAAAATAATGATAAAACTAGTAAGCTAATAAAGTAGGATAAGATTAAAAACAAAACTAAGTAATGAGTTATTTATTTCATAATAGAAACTGCGTGGTAGCAGTGTCGCTGCTGAAACAGGAACAGTCTCTTCAAGCGATGTAAGTACACTCCCTCTTCATTCGCTGGCCTCCTCCCACCCCGAGCATAAGTTACTTTGAGTTGTAGACAGTTAGCATCCCCTGGATGTAAATCCACGGATTTGGTGCAACCTCCATTTGGGTTAGTGGCGTCCTGAACACTGTGCGTGAGGCTTCCTAGGCTGTGGGGTCACTTTCTGCTCTCGTTGGATGTGGGATGCCCTCTTCCTGTTGCGTTCCTCTTCAGGCGGCTGTATCTCAGGCCTAAGAGTCAGAGCGACTCGAGTGAGTTCACCAGAGCTGCTGTCTTTGCTTCACCATCAACCCTGATGTCCGACAGATCCATGAGCCCTCTGCCAGGCAGCTGGAGACAGTTCAGTTCCCTGCTGGCCCGAAGACCCACTACTTGCCCTTGTTGCTTAGAGTTTTCTGGAGGCCTGTGGTGGGGGCAGATCCCCTGTTTTCAGGCCAGACATGCCTCACTCTTCTGTAGAGCCCAAAGGTTAAATGTTAAAACTAATCATATCTCACCAAATTCCTTTCCTGGTTAATCTCCCCTGGTTGGGAATGGTTTAATTTCACTGTATTCAGAGGAGTTCAAGAATTGGCAATAAATGTGGACAAGTAGGAGCTGGCATGATTAGTGCCAGTTGAGAGAGAGGTGGGAAAAGAGTTAAAAATATAGAAGAGTTGTGTCTACATTCCCACCTTCCTGTGATAGACCTCAGCCAAGTTCAGGGGGAGCCACGTGGGATCTGTGTTCATAACCTGCAGCAGACACCCCATGTGTGTGCTCGCAGACTAGGGAGGGCAACAGAATCCATTTCAGAGCCAAGAGGGGTGCTTCTCTTGGGGCGCATGTGGGGGAACTTGACCTCTTGAACCTAGCACACTTGGGTGTGTTAGGCCAAAAATTGGCACGAGCCTTCTGAGGTGGAATCAGAACAAGGTGTAGAACCAGGTGAGCAGTTTGGGGGCGGGGTAGGGAAGGTAGAGGTAGGCTCCAAGTCTAGATGCTCAACCACAAGCAGAGTTTAAGTTGGGAATCTTTGTCTTCTATGACTTGAGTTTTTTCCTATCAGTTTGAAATTTTGAAAAATTGTTTGAAAAATTATCTGGTTAGATTTATTTGTCAAATTTTTAAAAGGTGTTTTTACTCACACATGTCTATAAACTGAAGTGGTTGTTAAAGGGTCTGGAAGTTATTTAGGCTTCCGCAGTGAGTGAACTCTGCTCACATGACATCCCTTTCTTGCTCTCTTCTGTCTGTCATGTGGAACACATGATCCTGTTGACCTGGTGGTGGTCAGTCAAAGTGGGTTGTCTGGTGGACTTGACATGTACATCCCAGCAGAGTTTGTAGCATCGAGGGTGATTCTGGGTGGAGAGAAGATGGCCTTTGATGTCCAGTCTCTTCCCTTTAGTGCCTTGTGCACCTGAACACACTGCTTGTCTCCTCCTGAAGGGTCCTACTTCTTCAGAAGGCTCTCCGCCTGGAAAGCAGATGAGAGAGGGGTGTTAGCACTTCCTTTGACAGTTTCATTTTAGTACGGGGATCGGAATTGGTAACTGGTATTTATGGCTCTCCTACTATATGCCTGGCACTGTTTCAGTCACCTGGCATTTATATCTCCTAGAGTATTCACAGCTCGTCTTTGATGTGGGTCTTACCATAAGCCGCATTTCAGGGATGAGCAGTGAGGCTGCTGAAAAGGCACACCGGCTCGCCTAAGGTCATCTGCTTGCCCACGGTCATTTGGTCATGGTTGCAAAACCGCCAGGGAGATAGAGTCCTTCCCAAGAGGGGTTCTAAGACCTGTGGACTGAACTTGGAGCTTTAGACATTCTCCAAGTTGCCTCGCCTACTCAGACTTTTAAAAAATAGCCATGTTGCATCTTAAAATCAGTTTAGGGTTTCAGGCATTGTACAAATGGGGTTTGGTAAACTGCATTCCCTACTGCTGCCACTTGATGTCAGTATAAGACAAACGGCTCAGCTCTGCACTGCAGTATGAGAAGCGTGATGCCACAGTCCTGGCTTCTAAAATGGCACAGAAGTGACATTCTAAGTTATGAGTGGACCTGTGTAGACATTGTTATTTAAATGATGTTCCATAGATGAACTTTTCTTAAAATGCGTTGTGTTGTTTTTACCTCAATGTGAAGATCATGAATGACTTCAGATTTCTCGTACTTAGGCTGACTGATCTTTTACTGTTGTTCAGCTATTTGCTGACTCCTGATTGTGGATTATTAGTTTTCGATTTTTTCGAGGAAGTCATACAGGCTTGGCATTGGCTGCTCTGTTGATGTCCTGACAGAAAGAGGAACCCTGTGATATCTCCCGGCCTTTTGAGGAGTTAGAAGAGTCTGGGCATCCTTTTCCCTGTGTCCAGCTTCTTCCATACCTCTGTGCAGGGGAGCAAGGGGACTGCCTGCTCCCGTGTCTGGCCATGTCCTTTTCTCTGGCCGTCTCTGCTGTAGGCCCAGATCAGCCCTGGTTATTGCTGGGTGGACGTAGTTTCATTGGCAATAAGTAACACAGTCAAGTTGCCAGGTTCTCTTGTCACTTATTCTGTCTTGCTATTTAATATTCTGGAGCAGGTCTGTCCAGTGGAACTTGCCATGATGATGGAAGTGTTGTTCTTCATGTTCTCATTGTCTACTCTGGGAGCCCCTCGCACACATGGCTCTTGAGCCCAGAAATGTGGCAAGTGTGAGTAAAGCAGATCAGCTTTCCATTTTATGCAGGCTTTTTGGTTGCTTTTTTTTTAAAATATGGAACGCTTCACTAATTTGCGTGTCATCCTTGCGCAGGGGCCATGCTAATCTTCTCTGTATTGTTCCAATTTTAGTATATGTGCTGCCGAAGCGAGCATGGTTGCTTTGTCTGAAACTTTATCAAAGTGTGTTTCTCATACTATACAGTCCTTCCACTTGCAATTCAACAGATTTTCATATATTTACAGGGTTGTATAACCATTGCTACAGTCTAGTTTTGTAGCATTTTCAACACCCCAGGAAGAAACCGTGTTCTTATCAACAGTTGCCCTCATCCTAACTCCCTGCCTGCCTCTGGCAAGCACTCACCTGCTTTCTGTCTCTGGGCTTGCCTCTTGCAGCCACTTCATGTGAATGAGTCATGTGATACATGGTTATCTGTGACAGGCTTCTCTCACCTAAAAGTGTAATGTTTTCAGTAACAGCATTTTAGAATGGAAGGAGAAAAAAAACCTTAGCATTTTTTACTTTTGGCCAAATACTTAAACTGTATTCTCTGGCAGTTCCGATATCCTTGTTAACGTGAAGTTAGTTTTACAGCTTTGATTCTACTTTAAATTTAAGGCTGTGTTTTTTCTTTTTTATAAGTTTATTTATTTCATTTTTGGCTCTGCTGGGTCTTCGTTGCTCTCTTGTTGTGTGTGCAGGCTTCTCATTGTGGTGCCTCTTGTTGCAGAGCACGGGCTTTAGGGTACAGGCTTCAGTAGTTGGTACTGTACAGGTTTAGTTGCTCCACAGGTTGTGGGATCTTCCCAGACCAGGGATTGAACCCAGGTCCCCTGCATTGGCAGGTGGATTCCTAACCGTTGGGCCACCAAGGAAGCCCAGCTGTGTTTTTTTTTTAAGACTTTTCAGTCTTTCAGAGGAGGTGGAGAACTTTCAGGATTTGCTTCTTTGCTGTCTGTTAATGAGTTTATCAGAAGTTGTGAGTGAGCTGCGTCAAACACCTGGATAGGGCAGGAGTGTTACTAACTCCAGTCCCCTCTCGCTGGTGACTTGTCAAGTCTGTGAGGCCCTCAAGAAGTTCATGACCAATTATGTGTCTTTGTGCAGGTTTCCAGAGCATTGCCATTTACCAAAAGCACTTCCTGGATCATTTTCATTGTTCAATTGCCTTTTATTTTCTTGTCATAAAATTAGTATGTTTTAAACATTGAGGATCATTGAAGTGTATGCAAAGAATGAATTTTACAAAAAGGAGAACAGACAAGAAGCTATCAGTTTTGCTTTTCTGATCAGATGTTTGGAAGGATTGTGTATATTCTAGCAATGCAAAGAAAAATTAAATGGTAAAGTATTTCAGTAGCAGACTTTCCTTTGGTTACATTTGTTACCATGGCTATATATTATCATAATAAGGTAACCTAATATTGTGCTTCAAATATGTTCTTGGAATTGCATACAAAGCAATCATTTATAAAGTAAATCATATTTTCTGAAGTCCACAATAATTTTTCCCTACAATAAAGGATCCCTGTAGTCATGTAATTAAATTACATGACTAAGCAAATTAGATTGAAAGCAGTACTTGAAGGAGATTTATAAATTTGTAAATTAATAGTGAAATTACTTTTTTGGTAAGACTGAAATCTAAGATGAAATTATTTTAATTTAGGTATTAATTTAATATAGGTGTTTTATGAATGTTGACTGGAGAGCCTCTTTTAATAAGCCAACATCAAGAGAATTCTTGCACTGTGTGTGTTTTAGTTCCTGAATATGAGGTAATAATGATGATGATGTACATTATGTTTTGTGTTTAATGGAAACTGATGTCAGTTCAGATTGAGTAGCAGAGGTTTGTTGTTTTTTAATTTGGTGGGCTGGTATTGCTTTCTTGTGTTGATGAGGCAAAAATTTTGAAGTTTCAGAGATATGCCAGAGATAATTTAGCAAAACTTCTGATTGCTAAAGCCTCTCTCCCTCTTTGCCTCCTTTCCTTTCTTTGGTCACTTTTTTTTCATGTCATAGCTTTTTGGGGAGGAAAAAATTACCCTGTCCTCTTTCTGGGTTCTTCTGGCTGGTCAAAGAATTAAATTGACGTGAGGCAGAGGAACAGGAGAAAATCAAATTTAATTACACATATACAGGGTTATGTCATTTTACGTAGCTTCCGGTAGATGTAACCACCCATGCCTGGAGCGCTTGATTTCTGGAATGGAGTTGCCAGGGCACAGGGCACATGTGAATTTAGATCTAGCAACCCAGTCATTTTTCTAAACCCGTTTGCACATCCGTCAGCAAAGGGAGACAGTTGCCGTTTCCTCCTGACACTGACATTGTCCTGCATTATTCTCTAAAGTGGGTGTCATGATAGAAACAAAAACTACACGTGCACACTTGTGTGTGTGTGAGGTGTGCACACTGACTTTTTCGCTCTGTGAGGAAAGATTTGTTTCATAGTCATGAAACATTGAGTGCATTGGGGTGGGTTAATCCCCAGTCCTGGAGGATTTCACTTACAGCTGGCTTCTGGGCTTTGTTTTGGTTGGTTGTGTGCTTGATGGGTTCAGCTCTGTGCTTCACTGATAGCCCCATTCACACATGTGTTTCCAATATCTCTAGACAGCTGTTCTTCTTTGCACTGCAGTCTCTTTCTTTTTTTTAAGTGCCCATGATTGTAAAATTTAGAGGAATATCATCTTTACACTTTCTCTTTTAGTTTGTGCTTGAATCCCTGCGTTATGGAGATGGGTGTTGAAAAGTGGTCTATAAACACTGTTGCAGCTCTAGTGTAACTTTGGCATAATGTCTCTGCAGTTCCTATGTGTATTTTTTGTTGCCTTCCTGCTTTATCATTTATCACTGCTTGAATTATTTTTAATTCTCCAGAATATGGATCTGGGGTCCCCTCTTGAATTCTGCCAGTTTCTGTTTTCCTTAAGTGCCTAATCTACCATAATGTAGGAGAATTCCCATTGTCAGCCATATTGGAGAGTGTATTTGATGATCTTCTCTAAATGTGTTGAGAAGTCAAGTTGCTTTTTCTCTACCAGGGAGGCTTATGCACATTGTAGCTAGATCTCCGCCTAGCCTGTCACGTGTTAGCTAACGAGATAATCCCACACCCAGCGGGATGTGCCCTCTTATTCCCCCACTTTATTGGCAGGAAGCTCACTCAGGGACCCAAGGCTTGGAGGTGGCCGAGTATGGCAGGCTGGTCCCGGAGCCTTTGTTCTTAACTGTGATACTCTGTTACTGCCTTTCTTTCCTGGTGGAGGAGTCGATGTTTGAGCCTGTGGGTCAGTTCATCTGGAGCGAGGAGGGGCCAGAGTTCTGGGAGGTAACTGGAGGTGGAGGTCTGGTCCTCAGCCGGGAAAGTAACTGTTGGACCTGGCACTTGAAGGTCACTGCTGAACTTAGCAATTGCCATGTTAGTGGGGTGGTAAGATGGAAGAGAGGTAAGAACCTGGATGAATCTTTACAGAAACCTTCACGTATTAGGAGGAAGAGAGATGCAGAGGTTGGTACCACATTTAGGGATAACATGAAGATGAGAAAGATAAGAGTATGTTTAGGTGGTGAGTAGAGGAGACCAACAGACCCTGGAGCTACAGATTGCACTGTGAGGGAGGAGTGGGCTGCAGGCCGTGTGGGGCTGGGGGCCTGGACAGGAAGCACTGCCCACCTCTGTTGGATGAGAGAGAGGTGGAAATGGCTGTTGGTTTAGTTCCATGTCGGGGTGTGGTGTTGGCAGCTGAGCAGCTCTCTGGCTGATGGTCTCTTTCTTCTCTGGCTGCTGAAACAAGGGAGGAAAGCAGGGCAGGAGGGTAGAGGTGGCGGTAGTGGTGACAGCATGGGTGTGGCTCCGAGAGGGCAGAGAGAACGGGCAGAGCTGCCTGAGGGCCACATGATGGTGCACCGTCTCCAGCAGGGCCTGGATTATGTCTGTGTGGGAGCAGAGGCGGCGACTCACTGGATTAATAGAAGGCTGATTACTCTCTTTAAAAATAAATCATTGAATAATTTTATACATGAGACTAATAGGATGATGTGAGAGGAAGCTAAGGAAGTGATATAGTTTCCTTTGTTCAATTGAAGGCAGTCATTCAGTTGTCTGTCAGCATTGCCTTCACTGAAAATAATTTCTGTGCTGGTGTTGGACTGCCTGGCGGTGCATCACAGGAGAGAGTGTGGTTTTACAAGCAACATCTTTTATCTGCTCGTTTATATGTGAATGCTGAAGCTGTAGCTAGCAACGAAGAAGCCATTTTTAAAAGGTGTCATGTATTGCAGTATAGAATGGTAAATGGACTCAGAAAAAGACAGCAAACCAAAAAATTTTTGTGTTGAGATCGTTGATAAGTGGAAGAGAAGAGTGTGCCCTAGGCTGCCTTTTTGTTCATTATTGGAGAAAGCCTGCCCAGACTCTATCTCTAAACAAGAAAGAGGGAATTCTCCTTTCACAAAGGGCTACTTACCTGCTGACCTAATTGGAAAAATACATATATATTTTCTCCCATTATGGAAGATTGTTTTAGAACTGAAAATGCACCTTTTTTTGGGTCATTAGTTTTTGCTAACATTTTTGAGTTTTTAGGCAAATTATGTTAGTACTACTGGATATATTGTGCTTTCGGTAACTGTGTTCACTACTTTCTAGGTAAAACCTAAGATAACCTTTCCATGATGACTTTTGATTATTCTACCAAATACAGTTATATCATTGTGTTTCTGTGTTTGAGTGCCTGGAATTTCTTTAAAGTGTTACTTTTTAACAAGCTTAGTTTAAATTGAAACATCGAGCTTCCGTAGCATCAAGTGTGTTCGGTTTTGAGTATTTATGTGACGTCCACTGTCCTCTCCTTCCTTCTTTCTTTTTGTCAGCATGCTCTTTGAGGCCAGAGTCTGAAATTTCCCCTTGTTCCTTCATTTCTTACAGATGTAAGCCTCATGGTAATATTTAGGGAGAAGCCCAGGCCAGATGTCACCACCCGCTTTTCTAATATGGAGGTTCCTGCAACTTCTTGGGGATTATTTACTCTTATTTATTTCAAGCTTCTCTTAAGAAAGTGCCGCTGAACTGATAGTTTTAAAAAGTCACAATCTTTTTCATGTGTTTAATTAGGTTTGTATATGCTGTATAGTTTTTTTTTAAGTTCTCTTTTATTGAGTTTCTATGAAATGTTTTAACTCTGTGCTGTATGAACTACTATACTTAATCCTAAGAGTACTCTTTCAGAGTGCTTAGCGGTATCATCCTTACTAAGGATGGAGAAATTGAGCATTAAAAAGGTTCGGCAACCCTTCATATCATTCAGATATGGGCTCATCTCAGAGAATACACTTCTGTCTTTTTCATTCTATTGTTGATTTTGATGTTTATATAATTATGAAGAGCAGTGTTGTCTGTATCATGCCTCTCTTCAGGGGTAAGTGAAACACTGCAGGATAATAAGCCATTTATCAAACCATATCAAAGACATAATTACTGTGTTCCTTGATTTCCCTGACTGGATGTAGGCTTGAACCATGTAGGCTTAATTTTGTGGAAGAAGTCAGCTTCATTTCTGAGAGTCAGAGAGGAAAGTGAAAAGGAGAATTGACTTTTGAAAAAATAATAGAGACCTTTGGGCATTATATTACCATCAGAAACCCTAGCAAACAAACTCCAGATCCTGGCATCTTTGCAACCTGGTGACCTGAGGTGCTTTCTCCCACGCAGAGTTCCCAGTATGTGCAGTGTGTGGCCGGGTGTCTGCAGCTGATGCTCCGAGTCAATGAGTACCGCTTCGCCTGGGTGGAGGCAGATGGGGTGAACTGGTGAGCCCTCACTTGTCATGTGGGATAACGTTTAAGAGCATCTCTCCTTGACATTGTCAAAGAAATTAATATGTTTAATCACTGAAATGAAGGTGTTTTTTAAAAAGATTTTTTTCCAAATGTCTTGTGTGATGTTTTTCCCTAGGAAACATGCTGGAGACTCAGGTCTCCCAGTTTTCACTGTTAGTATTTATGTATGTCAGGATGGTACTCTCCACCTTGCACGAAGCAATATTCCAGACTCCAGAGGGAAAGCAGGCCTTCAGCATAGACATAGTATCTTGTTTGTGTACACAGTTTAGTCCCTGGTGGCTCAGCGGTAAATAGTCCTCCTGCCAATGCAGGAGACACAGGTTCGATCCCTGGGTTGGGAAGATCCCCTGGAGGAGGAAATGGCAACCCACTTCAGTATTCTTGCCTGGAAAGTCCCACAGACAGAGGAGCCTGGTGAACTACAGTCCCTGGGGTCACAAAAGACACACAACTTAGCAACTAAACAACAACAACATCTTCCAGGCAAAGTTCTATTTCTGTGTAGGGGGCTGATCGCCAGTCATGTTCCCAGAGGCCAGCCAGGGGCCTGCTGTGCAGGCAACCTACTTCTCAGGACAGCTGTCTTATGTGTTAGCTCTCCTCTGCACAGAAACCTGAAGGTGACTACACAGACGGTGTTTCTGGCCTATATATCTTCTTGTAAGTGATGTGATATTTTGGGCAATGCAATAAGAAAAGATAGTTAGTCATTTTACTATTATATCATCTTCTAGGTGATTCCATTGTCCAGTTTTTTATAACTTTAGTCTTTACTGTTTTTTTTTAATCATACTTGAGAATAATGAGTGAATAATGATGAAATAAGATCTAGGATGGTGAAATAATGTGACTCTTCAAATTATAGTTAACAAACTCACAGTATATCTTAGGCTTGTAAATGGGTCCAGTAGACCTGTATTGTGATTGTAAGGTATATTGAATTTTATCCTATTAAACAAAAAGTGCATTTTCTTTTTGTTCTTTGAAAGACCTGTAAGAGAGAATAAAAGTCATGAAACAGCTGTTTCTAAAAACAGTTATAATTGCTCAAAAGATAAACTCAAACACCCAAAGTTTGGTCTAGTGGACCCTAACGGCATACAGAGAGGCTAACCAGATGCTGCTCTTCTAGTTATTGGCACTTGTGTTTTGGAGGACGGTAATGTCAAAACCTTTGACTGTGTGGATCACAACAAACTGTGGAAAATTCTTGCAAGAGATGGGAATACCAGACCACTTTACCTGCTTCCTGAGAAATCTGTTTGTAGGTCAGGGAGCAACAGTTAGAACTGGACATGGAGCAACAGACTGGCCCCAAATTGGGAAAGGTGTACATCAAGGCTGTATATTGTCACCCTGCTTATTTAACTTATATGCAGAGTACATCATGAGAAATGCTGGGCTGGAAGAAGCACAAGCTGGAATCAAGATTGCCGGGAGAAATATCAATAACCTCAGATATGCAGATGACACCACCCTTATGGCAGAAAGTGAAGAAGAACTAAAGAGCCTCTTGATGAAATTGAAAGAGGAGAGTGAAAAAGTTGGCTTAAAGCTCAGCATTCAGAAAACTAAGATTATGGCATCCGGTCCCATCACTTCATGGCAAATTGATGGGGAAAAAGTGGAAACAGTGCCAGACATAATTTTTTTGGGCTCCAAAATCACTGTGGATGGTGACTGCAGCCACGAATTTAAAAGATGCTTGCTCCTTGGAAGAAAAACTATGACCAACCTCGACAACATATTAAAAAGCAGAGATATTACTTTGCCAACAAAGCTATGGTTTGTCCAGTAGTCATGTATGGATGTGAGAGTTGGACTATAAAGAAAGCTGAGCGCCGAAGAATTGATTTGAACTGTGGTGTTAGAGAAGATTCTTGAGAGGCCCTTGGACTGCAGGGAGATCTAGCCAGTCCATCCTAAAGGAAATCAGTCCTGAATGTTCATTGGAAGGACTGATATTGAAGCTGAAACTCCAGTACTTTGGCCTCCTGATGCGAAGAACTGCCTCATTTGAAAAGACCCTGATGCTGGGAAGGATTGAAGGTGGGAGGAGAACGGGATGACAGAAGATGAGATGGTTGGATGGCATCACTGACTCAATGGACATGAGTTTGAGTAATCTCTGGGAGTTGGTGATGGACAGGGAAGCCTGGCATGCTGCAGTCCTTGGGGTCTCAAAGAGTCAGACACAACTATGCAACTGAACTGAACCAGTATTAACTATTCAGTTTAGCAACAATAAAGGGCATGAATACAATCTAGAATATGTCATGTCCAACCTACACTCTTTGATATGGTAATACCCACCAACAAGGTTGAAAGTGAAAGTGAAGTCGCTCAGTCGTGTCTGACTGTTTGCGACCCCAGGCTCCATGAGATTCTCCAGGCGAGAATACTGGAGTGGGTTGCCATTTCCTTCTCCAGGGGATCTTCCCGACCCAGGGATCGAACCCAGGTCTCCCACATTGCAGGCAGACACTTTAACCTCTGAGCTACCAGGGAAGCCCATAATTGTAATCAAATTAATACAGAGACTTTTAAGTTGAGAACAGGTATTACTAAAGGTAGTATATATTAACTTGCTGAGATTGGGACAGTTTAGAAAAGTCATTGAATTTTTCATTTTTCATTTTTTTAAAGAAAGAAAGCATGTAATTTCTATTCTGCCATTTCTTTTGTTTAAGATTGACGGTTTTCTTTTTTTCCTTTTTGGTGCTCCTCAAATCACAAGCAGGGATCTTGGGAGGAGAAAAAATTGTGAGCATAGCCTGTTTGAGGAGAGTGGAAGGGGACTGTGGTTTAAGAGCCCAGGACCTGTTTTCTCTGTGTAGTTTCCTTTTCGATTACATGACTGGCACACACTGTTCTGAAAGTTTATGTGCCTGGATAAGACCAAGAATACACTCTTACATTACTGGAAAGTTTGGAGGTCAGCGCTGATGTTTTAACTGCTGGAGCTAAGGCAGGTGGGCTTCCGCTGAAGTAATTGCTCCCCCCTGCCCCATTCACCTGCCCTTTGTGAACATTTGTAGTCTGACATTTGAAGTATTTATAAAGTATATAGTAATATAAAGTAGCATATAAGTGAAAGGTAAGATTCAGAAGGAAATTGCGTGCTGAGTTGCAAGGGTCATGTCCTGAATGCCAGTCAAGCCCTCCTGCTGTTTGCTGTGTGACTGCGCGCCCTGCAGCAAGGGGGCAGCGTCCTGAGACTCCGGCCATGTGGACTGGCCCTCTGAGAGCAGGGGTCTGGCTTGCTCCCTCCTGCAGGAAAAAGGAGAGGACGTGATTCTGAGAGACTGGCCCACTGGGGCAGAAAGAGCAGTCAGTTATTTCTACTTCCGGTCGCACTGTCCTATTACTGAACGTCGTCTCCACCTGTGTTCCTTTCAGCATCATGGGCGTCCTGAGTAACAAGTGTGGCTTTCAGCTCCAGTATCAGATGATCTTTTCCGTATGGCTCCTGGCTTTCAGCCCGCAGATGTGTGAACACCTGAGGCGCTACAACATCATCCCTGTCCTGTCTGACATCCTGCAGGAGTCGGTCAAAGAGAAGGTGACGAGGATCATTCTGGCAGCATTCCGTGTAAGCATTTTGTGGGGAGTGTGTCCTGTGGGGGTATGTCCTGTGGGTGTGTGTGTGCTGTGGGGTTGTGTGTATGTGGTGTTCTGGTGTGTGTCCTGTGGGGTGTGTGTATGTGGGATGTGTCCTGTGGGGGGTATGTGGTGTTCTGTAGTGTATGATGTGTGTGTGGTGTGTTCAGTGCGGTGTTTGTGTTTTCTATGGGGTGTGTGTGTGTGGGATGTGTATGGTGTTAGTGTCATGTGTGTGTGGTGTGCGTGTGGTGTATTCAGTGGGGGTTTGTGGTGCGTATGTGGTGTTCTGTGGTGTGTGTGTGGTGTGTTCTGTGTAATGTGTGTGTGTGGTGTGTTCAGTGCGGTGTTTGTGTTTTCTATGGGGTGTGTGTGTGTGTGGAATGTGTATGGTGTTCTGTAGAGTGTCATGTGTGTGTGGTGTGCGTGTGGTGTATTCAGTGGGGGTTTGTGGTGCGTATGTGGTGTTCTGTGGCGTGTGTGTGGTGTGTTCTGTGTAATGTGTGTGTGTGTGGTGTGTTCTGTGGGGACTGTGTGATGTGTGTGTGTGTGAGGCATTTTTTGTGCAGCATGAGGCCTTTCAGCAGGTGCAAATGTTGCTTGTTCTCTCAGTGGTCTTGGAGCTGTGGATTCTTGGTGAGCTTAGACTGAAATATCATAGATTGTATTTATGGCAGGAGAGGGGATGAGGGAGGAAGCTGTCTCTATGGATATGTGAGGATTGCAGATACTTGTTGGGAGTGTGACAGTGCTATATTCAGTTGGCCTTGTTTTCCAGGAGGCTGAGGTTTCTTTCTTTTCCTGTCCGGGGCCCTTCTTTTAGAAGGGAGTTGTATTTCTGATCCTGGTTCTGCTGACCAGTAGTCATTTCTAAGACAGCTTTAGAGATCTACAGTTACTTTGAGCAGCGAAGTTGTCCTCTTAGGATGTTAGGATTTTGGCCATGAGCTCAGTCAGCATCTTCCCTTAAACAGACCAGGAAGTTGAGGGTGCAGGGGGCCATGCTGAACTCTGTAGAAGTCACAACGTTCAAAAAGTCACAGGAAGTGTACAGCCAGACTGAGATTCTTTATTTTCTTTGGCCCTGATTTGTGAGCTCTCCAGATTGTTGATCAGCTTTTTATGGACATCTTAGAAGTAGGATAGTGTCGCTCTTTTCTAGTTTTCCTTTCCACATGGTGTGTTAGCAAGAGTGTTGGCTCTGGAGTGGGCAGACCTGAAATGAGTCCCTGCATGGCTGGATGGGAGGGTGGTGTGAGTTCTCAGAGCTGATTCCTCCATCTGTAGAAGGTGTTGAGTGAAACTTAACTCACTTCAACATTGGGTAAGGATTCAATGAAGTAACAGACAAAGGGCCTGGCAATAGTAAATATACAGGAAATATTTCTTTTCCTCCTTTTCTGTCCATAAAAGCACAAAATAATAGCCATCTGCTTCTTTAACCCCCATCTCTATGAATTGCATTCTAGGTTAATGTGGCACGTAGGCAGAGGTCAAGGGCTGTTCTGTTAGATTTAGAAGAGGCAGCATGAATGTTTTACTAATATTTAGCAATATTTAACAATCTTATTTAAACTTTATTTGCAGATTCAATTTTCCATCCACACACACTGCATGGAACTTATGTTAATTTCTGGGCTTCTGTTGTCCAATTTGAATTTCAGAGTATTTAAAATAGACCCAATCTATTGACAGGTATAGTAGTTTTTTAGACTCTCCTTACTAAACTGGGACAATATAGTCATTGTATGATTAGACTGAAGACTGAATATCAGAAACATCCTTAGACATCCAAAACTTTGATGTACATAACTGAGTTAAAATCGAGCCATTAGTAAGGACATAGTAAAGCCATTTGATTTAGACCATCAAATAGGTGAAAAAAATGACAATGACATGTTCTTCTTTTTTTATAATTCTCAAATTCCTGTAACCTTTAATAAAGATTTCACTGATGTGGTTGTTTGAGGATCATCTAATTATACATTTTTCCCCATATCCTGAGGAAGAAAATTTTTATGCTGAAGACTTTAGGAAGCTTGCTGAGCTGCTGTGAGCTGAAGAAATCTAGCAGCTGTTTTTTTTTTTTTTTTTCATTTGGCTGGGTGAAATTTTATTTTTGAAAATGTCAGTCTCACTTATTCATAGCAGGTGCTGAACTCCAGGTCTCCATAAAAGTTATTCCATTGGTTAACTTGATGTGTCAGTCTTTTGTTTCTAAAATAAATTAGAATGTTTTGAGGCTGTGACTGAGAAAGATGCTTTGGGCTCTATTTGTTGTTTAGGGCTCTTCATCTGTTGTGACTTTGTTTCTCTTTTTTGGCTCTGCTTAGTCCAGACCCTACCTAATATGTCACATAATAAGATAAATTATATTTTATGACTGCATGAAAGCTTGGAAAGGCTCAGGAAGAAACCCCACCCAGTTGAATTTGGATTTATATTAGCTTGTGTTTACTATGATGTTTAATTCACACCCACACATGTATGCCACTCACAGACACAGACATGCACAGACTTGCATATTCTCTGCAGACAGTTCACAATCACAACACCTTCAGAGAGGCCCTCCATTCTGTCTCATTTATCTGTGTATCTGTTTTATGCCAATGCCATCCTGTTTTGATCACTGTAGCCTTGTAATTTAGTTTGAAATCAGGAAGTGTGACCTTTCCAGCTTTCTTCTTCTTTCTCAAGATTGCTGTGGACATTTGGAGGCTTTTGTGTTTCCAACCAGATTTCAGGATTGTTTTTCTGTTTCTGTGAAGAACGTCATTAGAATTCTGGTAGGGATGGATCTGACTGATTTTCTTACACTAAGCCAAAGCCTCTCTGCATTTATTTAGTATAATTGTTAGAAATGTGACATCCTTGCAGAAATAAAGATTAAAATTTTGGTACATTTGATTTAGAATTGTTATTGCAGGATTTGTGTGGGAGCGTGGGGGAGGGGATTAGACAGGCCTTCCTTGCCAACTTTGTCGAAGTGGCTTTCTTGAGAGCTTGTTTGTCCTTATTCCAGACCTGAGCATGGGCATGGTCCTTGCTTAGAAATATTGGTTAATTCAGTGAACACTTTATCTTTAGAAATATTTAGATTCTTTTGCTGCTTTCATAAGTACTCCTAAAAATAGAAAATTCCTTCTGATAATTGTTGAAGCAAAAAAGTTCTTTATTGCTGTCCTGTGTGCACTGATAGGCTGATGTGGGGAAGAAAAAGGTCACCGATTGGGAACTAGGGGATACTGAGAAAGCAGTCTTTCTTAGCAAGCTATGGGCTTTGTGTGGCTGATGAATGGAGTATTCATAGTGGTGCCCCCAGGAGCAGGGCTGCGACCAAAGATGGGGACAGCCCCGTTGTAAATGTGTGCAGGGTTTTGAGGCTTGTCTGGGGCAATAATTTAAAATGTTCAGTGAGCCAGTAGAGAAAGAGGGAATCAGAAGGATGCTCCTGAGGTGGGACAGGTGCTCAGGAGAGAAGTCAGAGTTTGCAGTGCAGACATCCACTTAAGGTGATGGATACCCTGAGAACAGGTGGAGGAGAGAGGGTGGGAAGGCAGGTGCAGACAGTATCACATAACAGGTTATATCATTTCTCATCGTGTCTCCGTCTAACCCAGAACTTCTTAGAGAAGTCAACTGAACGAGAAACTCACCAAGAGTATGCACTGGCAATGATTCAATGCAAAGTCCTGAAACAGCTGGAGAACTTGGAGCAGCAGAAGTACGACGACGAAGACATCAGTGAGGATATAAAGTTCCTCTTGGAGAAACTCGGTGAGAGTGTCCAGGACCTCAGGTGTGCCGTCCTCTTTGATTCTCACGGGCTGGCTATCCCAGGCTGTTGCCTGGCCTCCTATTTTAAGGAAGTCTCAATTTGTTACTAACTATGAACTCAGAAGATTGTGCTAAAACGTGGTGTCTTCTATTGAAAACTGAGGGATGTGGAAACACTGGCTCATCACCGTGGGGACAGTTGGTCAGAGCTGTGTGTGCTGTCTCCTCTTCTGGGGGGAGAATCAGAACCCACCATTCTCTGTTGTCTGAAATCCTAGCCACTGTTCTCCCTCAGGTTGTGGACGCCACCCTCGGAAAATCTGCCAGCTTAGAATCTTTTTTTAAGCAGCAGTCATTTCATTTATGGAGGAGGTTTGCTCATATAGGGAAAGAGTATTTTTTTCATGCTTTTTTTTTTAAAGTTTCTGTTGCTTTATTGTTTATATTAGAAAATTATGCAAGTGATGTACATGCAGTAAAAAGAAAAATCCCTCCCTTATTACAGTCCAGAAGGGACTCCAGGCCACTTCCCCATCTTCCTCACCTCTTCCCCCAACACTCTGATTTCTAAACACCTTCTAGCCCCCACCCCCAACACACAAATGCAGATGGGTTCCACATATTCTTCTGGTCTTGGTTCTTTTTTGTTTAATAATAGCTTGACAATCTTCCCCATTAACCAGTGCATTCTTTGTTTTTAAAGTACTGACACATTCTGGAAAGAGAGTTATTTACTAAGAAGAGTTGGGGTTTGGGAGCTGGGGTTTGAATTATTGGGCTACTTTGTCCATGTGTGGCCTTGAACAAGTTTCTTGACATTTTGAAGTTTCAGTTTTCTTTTTGGTAAAATAGTGATAAACTTTCTAACCTTGTAGAATTTTCCGTGAGGTGTCCAGCACATGCCTTCAGTGTAATGTGTGCTCTGGGAATGTATTTACCAGCTAACTCAGTGCAGTCCATAGTCTTCAGGCCCAAATGCCTTTGTTGAGATGGGAGCTGTCACCTGCATCAGTGGTTTATACAGAGTTTTATGGAAGAAAGCCGAATGAGTTTTCTCTTTTTATAATTGCAAATATGAGTAAATTATTTGTAGTATAATAGACCAGCCATGGGCTTGCAGTTTATATAAGTTCCATTTTATTATGTTTATTTCTAAAAATTATCATTAGTTCTTCTGTAATAATGATTTGAGATCCTTTTAAAAAATAATTAAGATTAGTGATAGTTTTCTAAATTATTTAATCCATGCTAGCCAATTTTTACTACTTATTAATTCTTCTGACTGAAAACCACAATCACAGAAAACTAACTCATGGACCACACAACCTTGTCTAACTCAATGAAACTATGAGCCATACTGTGTAGGGCCACCCAAGATGGACGGGTTATGATGGAGAATTCTGACAAAATGTGGTCCACTGGAGAAGGGAATGGCAAACCACTTCAGTATTGTCTTGAGAACCTCATGAACAGTATGAAAAGACAAAAAGCTAGGACACTGAAAGATGAACTCCCCAGGTCGGTAGGTGCCCAATATGCTACTGGAGATCAGTGGAGAAATAACTCCAAAAAGAATGAAGAGATGGAGCCAAAACAAAAACAACAATCCCATGGACAGGAACTGGTGGGCTATAGTCCATAGGATCTCAAAGAGTCAGACACAACTGAAGCGACTTAGCACATAGGCATAGTGAATAATTTTTTAATTAAAATGCATTTCAGATTGTTCCATGAACAGAGGTTTTGTTTCTATTATTAATCTATAGTGGGCTAATTCAATTAGTGAATTATCTCTACACTGTTGATAATCACAGTTAAAAATATTGTCCTGAGGTATGTGTTTTTATTTTTCTAGTGCCATATCATAGTTTGACATTTAAAATATAATAGAATATACTACTTTATGTTAAAATAACACACTGTTTACATAAATGTATCCTACCATATTGAGTGGTCTGTTAAGTACAATATTTTAGTGGTGTGGTAGAGAAATGATGCTAAATTATCAGATATTTTAGTGACATTTATTCATGTGTATATTAGGATAAGGATTTTGGAGACAAGTGCTCCTTTTAACATCTCATGATGAGCATTCAAATTTGACAGGAACGTTGTATCTCAGTGCTCTAAATCAATTTCACGTGGCTTACTGAAGATGATTTAAGCTGTTTAAACTTTGTTTAGGGGTAATATATAAAGGATGCTCCGTCTCTATAGTTAAATCATTAATGAAGATGTTCTGCATTTTTTACATTTTGGAGTATCTCTCAGATTCTTATAAACTTTGAATCCTTTCAAATTTTTTATAGCTCATTTGATGAATACAGTTCAGAACTTAAGTCTGGAAGGCTGGAGTGGAGTCCTGTGCACAAATCTGAGAAATTTTGGAGAGAGAATGCTGCAAGGTTAAATGAAAAGAATTATGAGCTCTTGAAGTAAGTTTCACATTCAGTTAATTCCAGGTTACATGCTAAATAAACTCTGTTGTTCCACATACTCATGGACATATTTTTGTCCTTCTTTAAGTTTTTGGATAGTCCATGGTTTTAACATATATTTTCTTGCTTACTAATGTGGTTGAATACCTTTTCATATGCTTTTTGGCCGTTTGGGTTATCTTTTTTCCCAGGAGAAATGCCTGTTCAAGTTTTTTTGTTGTTGTTCATTTGTTTTCCCCATTTTGTAAGAATTCTGTAAGTATTCTAAACACGTTCTGTGTCACACGGAAGTGTTTCACTGCCCTGAAATCTCCCCGTGTGCCACCTGCAGTTTTCCCTCCCACTCTCCCCCTGATATGGTGGGACTTGTGGGCAGTGGACATTATGAATCTGAAAGTGACCTGTTATGTGTGTTTAAAAGGTCTGAAGCCTGCTAACTTATGTTCAATAAATGATGTGCAATGTACTGTGTGTAATAGTGAAACTTGGAGAAAATACGGTTATATTTGTAAACGTACATTTTTGAGAAAGTATCAGCATTATATGTGTGTTCTCTTATGCTCTAGAAAAGGATTAGAAATCAGTCTCTCTTTGAATTAAATTTATTTCAGAATTTTGACCAAACTTCTAGAGGTGTCCGACGATCCCCAAGTCTTAGCTGTTGCCGCCCATGACGTTGGGGAGTATGTGCGCCATTACCCTCGAGGCAAGCGGTAAGGGAAGAACCTGGTTACCTCGTGTGCCCGGAGATGGTCAGCAAGGGTCCTAACTCATACACTCCTGTAAAGTAGTCATTTAGCTGGGAGCTGATGGAGTAAATGGAATCAAGGTGACCATAATGCTGGGAATCATGGTAAATGATAAACCTAATTAAAAATGGGTGGTATAAGAATAGAAGCACATGTGTGGAACACAACTGTGCCTTAGCCAATAGAGATCTCTCTAGAAATTTCACGTTCAGGATTTTCTTTGGTCTGTATGATGTAATTTGAAAGCCGTTTCATGAGTACTGGTAATTTTTCGATTATTACTGTTACTTGTTATAACATTGAATTGTTATTGAACTGAGTAGGATGAATGAATGTGATGGAAGGAGCTCTTTTGGGGGGAAAATGATCACATTCGCTTCCTATTCTGCAGTCCCCACATTAGCACCACAAACGGGGGTTTGTTGTCTTCAGTGACAGGAAGAAATTTCCTAGATTCAGCGACTGAGCTACTGTAACATAGTTGGTAAAGGACTGAACTGATGTGTTAGGTAAGGTGCTGTTTTAATCCGTAGTACCTGGCATGGGACAAGCACTCATAAAGACTGGATGTAATTATACTACACGTTTCTTTTTTCTCAATACGGTACATTAAAAAAAAGAATGTTCTAAAAATAACCTACAAGAAGGTCTCCAGGTGAAGCCTCTCTGTCACCCCGACCTGTGTGCTCCCCTCTAGGTTGTCTTGCCCCACCAGCAGGCTCGCTAGGCGTCCCAGCCACTGACTGTGTGGTGGTGTTGGCCACCAGGCACCCATGCTGCTGGGCTAGACTTGAGACACCCACTGGCTCTTGGCAGGGCCCTGTCCTGGCAGACAGTCAGGGACCGTTCTTCCTTTCGTGATGCAATAACCGTTTACACTTCGCTTTTGTGTCTGTAGTAACTGGATTTTTTGGGGTGTTGCGGGGGGGCAGTGACAGCGGTGTGATTATCAGTCCTCTTGGTGCTTTTGTCAAGAGGAATCTCTCATCTCTTTCACTGCCCAGCAGGTCATGATGGCATACTCCATCATTGCAGGAAAGGGCAGATATCTTAACAAACCGTGTCTTTCTCAGGAAATTAACATGGCTTCATGAGATGTTTTTTTAACCTTGTGTTCCCTGCTGCCTGCTTCTGAGCCTGTATCTGGCTCACAGAATGGCAGCCGCTGGGCTTAATATTGATCTGATACTATTTCAGCCATTAGGTGGTATGCAATATACTAATTTTTAAGCAAGCCACAAATGCTGGTAATAAAGAACTTGATTCTCAACTGCCTGGAACACTGTAATATAGATTACCCTAGCAGTCCAGATTGATCATATTTGCCCAGACTAGGAAATGAGGATAACAATTGGATTTATCATTAGAAATTCAAGAGAAAATGTATGAATACTTCAAATCTGTGATTTGGAAGAAATGGTATTTTAAAAAGATGTGTGTTGTTTACTTACCAGTATGGTAACTTCTCTTTGTGAAACTCCTGGGCGGTTGGGGGTTGGGGCTCTCTCTGTGCGACTAGCAGCAGGCATTGGAAAGTCACTGCCGCTTCTGTCCCGCAGGGTCATCGAACAGCTGGGTGGGAAGCAGCTGGTGATGAACCACATGCACCACGAGGACCAGCAGGTGCGCTACAATGCCCTCCTGGCCGTACAGAAGCTCATGGTGCACAACTGGTAGGTGCCCCCAACCCCCGCGTCTCCATCCACGTGTTCTTACGGAAACGCTTGCATGAGCGCTGGGTTTTAAAAGCAGTGATTTAGATTTTAGCCATTCAGAGCAGTGATGTGATAGTTTGGAAAACAACTGCATTAATGTTCTCAGAAAATGCATATGCAAAGTACTTTGTTGTTCAGTCGATGTCTTGAGTTGAGTTGTCCAACCGTCTCATCCTCTGTCAGGTTCAGTAGGGTTGCTGAAGTATAATTCTTGTCTTGTTAATAAAAATTTCATTTGAATAGTTATTTCCCTTGAAAAGTTTATTGTTCAATTTAGCATTTTCATTTTTTAACTGTGCATTTATGATGTGAAAAAAAAGCTGAGTATGGCATAGGATGGCTAAGAGTGTTCCCTTTGGCAGTGGAGAAAATTTTTTGGTCGAGAATTTTATTGTTCAAATGATCATGCATTCAAGATGAAACATTTAAAATTTGAAAACTTGGCCTTGAATTTAGGAATTTGATTTAGTCTCACAGTAAATTTTTTGATGTATAATTACAATAGGAAAAGTAAAATTTTTTATGGCCAATAACTGGTCTATTTGCTCTTTATCATTGACTAGCCAGTTAGAGAATATCCTTTCTCCCCCTTTTCTCTAGTTATGTGCCAAAATATTTTAGCTTTAGTGTTTTAATTATGATAAATCCTCTTTAGTGGAGAAGCTTAGCTTCAGCATTTTCCTGTACTTTCTTTATTAAAAGAATTTTCATATGAAGATTAGAATCCAGTTAGAAAGAATTCTAACTGTGGATTAGAATCCACAGTTGATTAAACTGTAGCGTTTGTGGTGACAGACACATTCCTATGGCATTTTGTGCCTGAGGATGTAAACTGCTCCAGTAATAGCAAGTTATTCAACATCAAATTGGTGTGAGACCAAATAGAATGCCATTTGGAAGGAAAACCTTTGGCAGCATTACTTCCAAATGTAAAAGGATTTTGAATCAGTATCTTTATGCAGGTAACCAAGCTGGCAAAGCCTACTGCTCTACTTTCCTAAACTAGAGGCTTTTTAACTAAACCATGGTCCTGGTGTTTAGAAGATGTTTCACACCAAATAAAACCTGAAAACATAATTGATTTGGTTTGCTCTGAGCATTTAGTTTGTCTTGGTTTAATTAAAACAAGTTTTTAGAAATGGTGTATTTTAGTACAACACAGTGACAGAAATCAATTGAAAATAATTAAAATACAGATATGGGTAAAAGTAGAATATGAGTCTGTCTGAGTGGCGGCAGCAGCAGCGTTTCCTGACAGTATCGAGCATATTTTCTCTGTTACTGCTTTGCTCTGAGGCCGTTAACAGATTTCCAGCACTCTCCTGGTTTACTTTTTGGCTTTTCTACCATAAATGATTTTTATGTTTTTGGTGTTTCATTATTCCCAAGATTTCTGTTGATTAGACTGTTATAATTGTGGATATAGTGAAGTTAGCATTTCTTTTTTACTTTGGAGAATGGCTTTTTGGTTTTAAGTCTAAAATTATATTTTGAGTATAAACTGGAAACTTAGGAAATCATGAACCTGGATTGTCTCTGGGTCTCAATTTGGATTCTGCTCTGAGGGTTCAGTTCACTTTTCTTGGTGATGCAGAGATGGATTTACCCCTGGTTTATGGAACATGGAGTGTAGAGTTTTACATTATCATGTGAAAATATTGCTCACTTCTTTGTCAGGAGTTTATGACTGATTTCTGGATTATTTCTGTGACTTGCAGGATATAGAGTAGCCAGCGTTTCCCCCTCCACTGGACACCTGTGTGTATGAATAATGGGTTACATGTAGCCCCAGCTGATGTGGCTGGGGTGTGGGGGGCAGAATGGAAGGAGGGGGCAGTAGGCACGCACTGGGGTCCCTGCAGCTCAGGGAGCCTCGAACGGGCCAGTCCCACCCATGGCCCTGCTGAGTGGATGTCCAGGCTCTGGCCTTCCCGTCCCCACATGCAGTTTCTGGTATGTATGTCCCTCATTCTTTTGAACAAGACTGGATTTTTATATTCATGAATTTGGCAAAATAGATACTAAACAATGACAACTTAGTCTAGAGAACTTTTGTGTAGACTCTCAGCTCTGCATTATAATTTAACATCATAAAATATCATTGTTTCTCTCCTACAGAATGATTTTAAATGTAATCAGCCTCTAATTCAGAAGCAGCCATATGTGCATATGGACAGCTCAGGACTTCAGGAAAGAAACACTGAATTTTGTAGGTAGAGGATCTTGTGTAGAACTTTCTCTTTGTTTCTAGATTCTTTTCCAACCTATTTTCAAGCAGAATAATAAGAGTGTTAGACTCTCTAGTTCTTTTATGTGTAGGTAAATAATATAACTGAGAGACCTCACAAAGCCAAGGGTGTGGGTGATGCTGCTTTTATTCTTCAATCTTTACATCTGACTGGGGTATTTTAGTTATTCTGTAAGTACATAGCCATAAATGCAGTGATTAAGAGTTACATATGAACAGAATTGAAGGGAAAAACCCCTTAGTAAGTTTTAATTTTTAGCCTTAATAATCATGTTACTATAACATTCCATATAATTTTAAATAAACATATGACATTTCCGAGTTTAACATTTTCCAAAATTAATGTAGAAAATTGTGGGCTGCCTGGAGTTTTCCACATTATTCTTAGGACATTTTTAGTGGAGGAATTCTCAGGTAAGACTGTTGTTACATTCTAAATATAATTCAAGTAAAAGGAGTCTACAATAAGCTCTGAATGTGGACTTTGCTCCCATTCTGTCTTCTTAAGAGTGCTTGTAACAGCATATGACATGCTGCATAACTAAATTTGTTTGTGCTGTGGTCATTTAGAGGCGTGTTCTGTGTTGTACTGATTGCTTTTGGTTATAAATACTTGATCCGAAATTGGTATTTAAAGTGAAAAGGAGGGACTTCTGGTTCTGGTTATACAGGTATGGAGCTTGAAGTCTCCACTCCATCTGAACAAGTAAACAGCTGAACAGACTGAAAAATCAAGCAACCCATGTCGAACCCACAGGAGAAGGCAGGATACACTTTTCAACCGAGACTGAAGAGGCACGTGAATGCAGAGTTGCTGCTCAGAGGAGCAGGACTCAGACGAGGGGACAGTGAGGGACCAGCCCCTGGAGGAGGCTGGACTATGGCTGGTGAATCGCAGGAGGTGCAGTATACACTAGTCTAGGGGGGCTGGGGAGGTGGGCCAATACAGTGAGAATTCTCTCCAGAAGCCAGACCAGTGTACCACAGTAAATATCTAGAAAGAACTCCCACGGCCTTTTGTCAGAAAGGGGAGAGGAACCATTCTGAAACAGCCCAGAGCTCTTGTTCTTAACCAGGCCTGTACTCAGTGGAGAGTCATTGACCTAGCCTGCCGGGTGTCATCAGAGTCTGACTGACCTGGGGAAGGGAAATGACCAGTTCCAGCGGCTCTGACCATCCTATCCCACCCAGAAGGGTAGAAAAACCCCAAGGGATACTCATGAAGGTCACAACTCAGGGTCCAGGTTCAGTGACAACTGAGACCAGATCATAGGACTCCAAAAAGCTTCCTTTCACCTTGCCTCACTACCATGTTACTTAAGATTTATTTATAACAGTTTCTTTTACCCAGCACACCAAATCCAACTATCAAGAAAATACTACAAAGCATACCAAAAAGAAAAAAAAGACAAAGTAAGCATCAGAACAAGCCATGGCAAGAATGTTGGGAGATCAGACTGGAAACTTTAAACAACCATGATCAACATACTTAGGACTCTAATGGATGAAGTAGACAGCATGCAAGAACAGATGAACAAGTTAAACAGAGAGAAATCCTAAGAAAGGACCAAAAAGAAATGTTAGAAGTAAAAAATCCTGTAGCAGAAGTGAAAAATGCCTTTGATGGACTTATTAGTAGACTGGATATGGCTGTCTACAGAAAACACCAGGCCTACTTGGGTTCACCGTTGAATTCTACCAAACATTTAAGGAAGAAATGTTAGATCAATTCTTTGCAATCTTTTTAAGAGGTTAGAAGCAGACAGAATACTTCCCAACTCACTTTGTGAGGCCAGCATCACCTAATACCAAAACCAGACAAAGACATTATGAGAAAACCATAGGCCAGAATCTCGTATGAGCATAGATACAAAAATCCTCAATGAAATAGTAACACACTAAATCCAACAACATATAAAAAGAATCATACACCAAAACCAAGTGAAATTTACTCCAGATATGCAAGGCTGGTTAGGCATTTGAGAATCATTTAATATAATCCATCACATCAACAAAAAGAAGAAGAAAAATCACATGATTTTAACCATCAGTTCAGTTCAGTAGCTCAGTTGTGTCTAACTCTTTGCGATCCCATGGACTGCAGCATGCCAGGCTTCCCTGTCTTATCACCAACTCCCGGAGTTTGTACCAACTCCTGGATTATAACTATAGATGCAGAAAAAGCATCTGACAAAATAAAACACCTGTTCCAGTAAACTAGGAATAGAGTTCTTTCTCAATATGATAAAGAATATCTATTTTTAAAAAACCCTTTAGCTAACATCATACTTAATGCTGAATAACTGGAATCTTTCCCACAAAGATCAGGTACAAAACATAGGGGTTTCCTTTCACAACTTCTTTGTACTGGAAGTTCTAGCCAAAGCATTAAGACAAGAAAAAATAAATGGTATCCAGATTGAAAAGGAAGACTTGAAACAGTGTTTGCTCCTGGATGACATGATCATCCATGTAGAAAATCCTAGAGGCTTGACAAAAAAGTCTTCTTGGAACTAATAAGCAATTACAGCAAAGCTACAGGAAATAAGGTTAATATACAAAAGTCAGTCACTTTCCTATGTACCAGCAAGGGACAGGCAGAATTTGACTTGAAGACTATAAGACTACAGTAATCAAGATAATATGGTATCGGTAAAAGAGTAGACAAACAGATCAGTGGAACAGAATAGAAAGCCCAGAAATAGGGCCC